AAAGCTGCACTGGGAGGGAGCTGAGTCCCAAGATCCCCTGCCCTCCAAGGGCCGTGACAGCCGGGCAGCATCTGTAACTCATGCCAAGAAGCAGGAAACAAAGTGCTCACTGTCTCCCCACAGGGAAACAGGTTTCACGTGGTTCCTCCCGGCTGCTCACTGTCTCCCCACAGGGAAAACGGATTTCACGTGTTCCTCCTGGCTGCTCAGGCCTGCCCTGCAGTGGGCCACGCCCCCCTCACCACCAGGGGTGCCCATCTCTGGGGCTGGGGCTGGAATCTTCTTTAGGATCCTGGGGTGGAGAGCAGCCTTGGAAAAGGTGCCGGGAGAAAGCTGAGGCCCCAAGAGAGTTCACCCAGGGAGTCTGCATCCATTTGTAATGGGAACATGGGAACGGGGTCAGCAGGCGCAGGCCTGGGAGCGCGAGGGCGAGGGGGCCGCCTGCTCTGCGGAACAGCCCTGCACAAAGCCCAGGAGCAGCCGCTCATGACCCTGTCCCCACGACCCTCTCCCGTGGCCCCTAAAGGTGCTGGGTAGGAGCTGTCACCCTGGCCTCTGTACGCGCTGTGCCCAGGGCTGTATAGAGGTGCCGGCTCCTTTCTTCCCCCCTTTTCCTCCTCCCGCACGGTTTGCTTTCTCACCATCTGCAATAACCCTTCCTCCCAGCTCCTCCTGTTTCTAGGACAGCAGAGCATGGGCTTCAGGGCCTGCAGAGCCGGGAGATTAAAATTGGGGAAGGTTGGGGAGGCTTCTGTGAGCTGAGCCCAGAGGAAATGCCCCCCGGTGTCTTGAAAAGAGAAGGGGCCCACCCCTGGTGAAAGCTCCGGGTGCCTGGGCCCTGGCGGCACCGGGTCAGGTGGGGAGGCCCGAGGAGCGTGGCCGCCGCCCTCCCTCTCGCTCGCTGAGGGCCACCCCGCACAATCGGCAGGCTCTCTCCAATTCCGGAGAGCGACAGATGGCCCGTCTGCCAGTGGAGTGGACGGTGCACACGGCAGGACCCCGGGTGATTGAAGGGACCCTGACCCGGCTGCACAGGTGCAGGCGAGGAGGCACGTCGCTGCAACCACACCGTGTGACTTTATAGTCCTGAGCCACGTGGACTTGCCATGAACTTGGACAGTTAAAAGCAGAGGAACTGCCTGGTGTCTGTACTCTGTCATTTAGCAGAATCTAATCATGGACAAAGTCCAAGAGAAACGGTTTGGAAAGCGTTACATTTCTCTCCCACAGCCTCCATTCCTGACCCCGGATGTACCCACGCCAGGTCAGGAACGCCGCCCCACAGGCAGCAAAGTGCGAGGGGCCGGAGAGTGAGAGCTTTGTTCCCTTGTCACCTGGAAAGCAGGTGACAAACTGCCCGTTAAACCCATTCTGGGGTTGCTCTGACTCTGCCCGTCACTGACCTAGAGACAGAAAGGGCCCTTCACTCCCACACGCAGAGGCGACAAGATGTAGGGCAGCGCGGGCCCTTCCAGTCCCTCCTGCTCAGCCACACTGTCCCCGCGCCGCCCATGACGCCTCCGCGCTGGGTTTGAAGGAAGCCCAGAATAGCTGAGGGACATGTGAGGCCAGCGACAAGGTCGATCAAGGACAAGGCCCTGGTCCCCAGCGTCTTTAAGGACCTGATAAATGCGCACAGGGCTGGGGAGGAGGAGGAGGAGGAGGAAGAGGAGGGGGAGGAGAAGGAGGGCGGAACCCACTAAGATTTATGGCTGCTATTCTCACAGGCTCTGCCGAGGCAGGAGGTCAGCGGGCGGGGGCGGGCAGCCCCTGGGAACACAGAGCGACCCCCCCCCCCCACAGCCCCTGCCACCGCTGGCTGTGTGGCTGTGGGTACTAGCAGATTTAGACACTGGGGCTTGTTTGTCCTCTTCTGTCTTTTCTATCTTTAATAGGAAGATGGATCGCAGCCCGAGCTGCTCACCTTAAAAAAATCACAGCAAAGTGATGAGAGAGGAGAGCACAGGGACAGCTGTTACTTTGCAATATCACCCTTTCCTGTAAAATATGGCTGCCCAGCCCAGCGCGGTGGCTTGGGGGTTGAGCGTTGACCTATGAGCCAGGAGACCACGGTTCGATTCCCAGTCAGGGCACATACCCAGGTTGCAGGCTCGATCCCGTGTGGGGCGTGCAGGAGGCAGCCAATCAATGATTCTCTCTCATCATTGATGATTCTATTTCTCTCTCCCTTCCTCCCTTCCTCAATAAAAATATATTTAAAAAATAAAATAAAATAAAATATGGCTGCTCATGCTGGACCAGCCCAGCTGAGGAGGCTCATGAAGACAGGAAGGCAGATCAGAGAGCCCAT